TTTCTTCTCTCTCCTCCTCTCCGTTTTATCGGGCTTTAATCTGCATAGTGTCACGCCGCGGGCACCGTCGCTCGCAGACTGCCTTCGTTGAGCACAGTTTGTCGTCGGGAAAAATGGGGAGCGGGACGAGCCGGGCTGGCGCTCGCGCGCTTCTCTATCCTCCCGGCGTGAATCCAGACAACTCGGTTGCGAACGTCAAGGCACGGACGAATGAAACGTCGAAGCAAATGCAATATTTCCACGAACGACGTATACTTTATTAAGGAAACGTGAATTTCGTTCTCACAACGCTGAGGAGTCTTTCTCAAGTCTGCCATACGTGCCGATGGCGATAGAATTTTTTCGTGTTATACACATGCGACACGCACAATTGAATAAATATCATTTTTATCTTCACATTTTATTATTTTATCTTCACATTTTAACAATCAAATCCGAAGTAAATATTTTTTTGCGCCAAAACGGAAATCAACATGAATTTATGCAAACTTCTTTCACCGCGCTACTTTTGATCCCGAACAATGCTCATGCGTCGAGAAGCAGCGGAAAGATTTGAATTAGAAGAGAAACTATAAGCACTCCGAAAAAGCTCGAGCGCCACCAATAAAGAGGTAGACTGGCGACGAGAGTTTTGCTCGATTTTTCGAGCTTGGTCGCAGGTAACACCTGCGTGCAGAAAAGTTAAGTCTCTTCGCGGGGCGAAGTCTTTCGCGGGAGTCTCCGGCACTTTTCCGTCGCGCGGGAAAAGAAATCGAGGGAAATATCCTCGGTTAAACTTCCACCGCGGGTATAAACTTGCTACTCAGGAAGATTCGTCATCGTCCAACTCGACCTTCTTCCACCTCTTTTCCGCCGACGGCCAACGTCGCCGCGACTCCGCCCGCTCGTGTCGCCGACGATATAAGAACTTTTCGTTATCCGGCAAAATTTTTATTAACGTCGTGATTCCCCGGGGAGAGTCTCGTAAAAAGAGATGTAACTGCGATTATCATCGGTTCGCTCGAAAAATGATACGCGCAGCGACGGAAGATTTGCCGCCGCGGAACTTCTCCGTGGGCGAAGTGAAGCAAAGTAATAGGACGGCTTGTAGAGGCTTTTATTCACTTTACGCTCTGTACGAGTGATACGTTATCATCAGCGATACGAAATCCGATAACGGCAATATTACATTCGCGGAAAATTGAAGTCTCCCCCGATATCACAAGACTTCTAATCTCTCGAGTGTGATTACGTAATAATATTCTATTTATATAAATTCTATAGATGTGCCGAACACGACTTGCTAATTAGTAAGAATACAACCGTTTCGAGAATATGTCAGTTTAGCTGTATAATTCCGCCAGCATAAAATAAGATTACCCACTTTCCTCTTTATAGAAAACAAAAATACTACCGCAAAATAATCGGATTTTGTGTCAAGCACTTTTATGAACTGGTTCGTTATCTCTCGAAATATGAAAAATTATGAGTTGCACCGCCGCTGTGCCTATTTTTAATGTACTTAAAATGGATTTACCAGATATATTCAGTGTATCTGCCTCATTTATATTACGTAAATTATTTTTCGGATATTTCGCTCTTTAACACACTTCTGTCACATTATTCTCAACGTCACGGCGTAATGAATGACGTCACGTTTTCAAATAACAAACGCGTTTCGGGAAAATTCGTGCCGCGAATTTATGAAATGATATTGACGGCAAACAGGCTTGTTATTAATGTAAATTTATATTGTAACAACTGGGAGACGAGCGTTTAATTTCAATTAATTTCCTGTTGCAGCCTATTGCCACAGCAGGAACTCCCTGGCGTCTCTCTGCTCGTATATCACGGGAGATGCGTTGCTATATTCCATGTTTCGCGAGGAGGCACCCTCTGTACCGTGCCCCTTTCGCGGACCTATGACCTTTGAGTACAATCGAGGCCACGGTACGTGTTCGAATCCACCAAGCAACGTTGACACCTGTACAGACGACAGCAGACTCCTCTTCAAGTATCAGGCTTGCCCGGACGTATCCGCTTCGGAGAGCGCAGGTAAGATGCACTTTTTGTTCACGGAAACTCTATCTATATATTCTCTAATATAAAAAAGGCGGTATGCGTGTGTCAAAATGTGTTTAAAAGTAGCTGACATTGCAAATAGAAATCCGCAGTCTTTAAATCATAATGTCTGAAAAATACGTAGCTAAAAAATATGATTCTAGAAACTTCTCTCGCAATGCATATTTTATTAATTATTTTAAAACTTTCAAGGAAAAATAAAAAATGCAGTAATCGTGTAAACTAGATTAAAAACTATCGTTAAGTCTCGAAGAGAAAGAAAAAAGGGCAAAGTTTTTTTTCTCGCTTCTTATCGTATTCTCTTTTATCTGCACATTCTTTGACAAATCTGATGTATATTTTATTTTAACAGAAACATTGAGATACTAAGTTTTCCATTTATATATCTAATATTGCTAAAGATAAAAGTTCGCTTTTTTCACGAATAAACTTTGCATACTATTAAACGCGAGCTTGTATACATTTTTTTTTTTTATAAAATTTTTAGTTTATTAACACCAATGTATCCAGGATGTTGCTTCGAAACTGTTTTTGTAATATTATGAATTATGTAAATACGATGCATAATCTTATTTTTACAAATTATGTAAATATGTTTCTTTTATAATCTCGTTCGTATGTTCTTTAGTACTGTGCGGAATTTTAGATACCTTATAATAATGTAATAAATTTCGCGATGCGAAATTCTATCTATTCTGAATACATTCTATATTTTTATATTATTTTCATCACGTACATTTTTTCCATTCCATAAATTAATTAAATAATACTCATAAAAGATATGTTAGCATAGAGTCCTCGTTGAATAAAATCTTTGTCTAATCCCAATTTATATATATAATAAATTGGTAAAATATATATATATAAAATGAGATTAGACAAAGATTTTATTCATATATATATATTCACAGTTGTTAATTGCCACCGTTTAATTTGAGTAGTGTAGCTTATTAGCGTGATTGGTATTTCGTGCGAGTAGTCACTTCAACGGTTCTCTGATAGGGCTGACGACCATCAGTTTGTATATCTTGCGCGCTTCAATTAAACACTCGTTACTCGATGGATTCGCATTTAATCGCGCGGCACAGCAAGATTAAATTTGTAGTCAATACGGGTTTATGTGTCTACTTTTGGCCGACGTGTATTCAATTTAATATATTGCGGCATAATCGATGCCGCCGATAATCCGTTTCGAAGCTACCGTAGCGTTGTCAATTATACCAAGTTACATTGCAAAATGTGTGTGGACAGCGTCTAAATATTCATCAACTCCAACATCGATTCCGGACTGCTATTAAGGGGTGTCAGCAGGTAATAGAATAGAGAAGGGTAATAGAATAGAATATTCATTTCGTGAATATCCTTTCGGCTTAATAATTTACATTCAAAGCTGGAGAAGTACTTTTGCGCTTGCATTGTCTGAATATTTAAAGTGTCCTGAATTTGACAAATGAAAGTTGACATTTATCCATAAAGTTATATGCAGGTATTTTACAAACTGTTTTGCATTTACACTGCAGTTATATTTAAAAGAAAACCGATAGCATAAATTTCATTTCCTTCGTTAGATAATAACATATAGTATTTTTCTTTCATCGCAAAACTATGGAGTATTAAAAATATTGTGCTTCGTTAAAAAAAAATTATTAATACTTTCTGTCTGTCTCTAAAAAACAAGTTTCGAAGATCAATGCCGATGAAAAAGATATTAGAATCTATTATTTAGCTGCTCCTCGTGCTACAATTAAATGTTTCGAGAAAAGTTTAATGCCGCAATTTTAGACTACCGTCGATTTTATCGTAACTTTTTGCAATATTTCTGATGATAGGATGGATTAAAAAAGTCTATGTACGTCATGTAAATACCGCGAATGAAGTGAATGAAAGAACCGACTATAGAGTGCGGCTTTATACCCCGCATTTTCTTCTATTTTCCTCGTCGCGTTTGATCGGATTTACTTTCGATGCGCTTTGGTCCCGCGTGGTGTTTTTCAAACACCCACCAAAATGGAAACGATTTCGGGCGAAATCTAACCGACGAATCGTACCTTTAACGAACACTTTAAAGGGAAAAAAGAGCGGTTGCGATTCGGTCAGGCGGCAGATTTTTCAGAATTAAATCGACGCACGGATATTACGGTCTTTTCATTCTGAATCCTGTCATTTAAGCGAAAAGGGACATCGTCAACGCCTTCCCGCTTCAACAACCTGTTGAGAAACCGATTTATTGGTATCGCGCGACGTATCGATGACGATGAAAAAGAGCGCGAAACAGCTAAATTTTTATTCGCGTTTGAAAATTTTCGTAATTCAATGTAGCAATTTAAGCGGTCTGCATAAAAAATCGGTTTTATCGTTCAATTCGTGTTTCTAAATTTCATGACACGTAATGTTTTAACTAACGCTCAAACACGCATCCATCCCTGTTATCGAAAACGATTTGATGAAAAAAACGTATACACTCGCATACAGCTTGTAACACCGGTTGAGAGAACGTTGTTATCAATAGTTATTACTCTGTTTCATAAATTTGTTATTTCAACATAAATCGCGATTATTTTCGATATATTACGAAAGAATAACCGATTCCAAATAACCCTTGTTAAGCTAGAGTAAAGTAGTCTAAAAAATCAACATAGAAAATCGTTTTTGGTCTTAAAATATTCTCTAAATAGCACTATATTTTGGTATATATTTTATTTTAATTTTTTGTGGTGGGGGTGCTAGCTTAACAAAGGTTTTCAAATAATACACAATTTCTTACAATCCTGATTAATCGATTGCCGATTCTTTTCCCGACGTTGCTCACCCGTGCACAAGACGTATTCGCGTTCAAGAAAGCGAAAAATCGGAATCTCCTCGCCGGATGCTTTGACGGAGACGAGCGACACGGAGCGAAACGCGCACAGAGGGAAACACCTGGGGTAAAGTCCAGGAATGGGTTCTTTTTTCCCGAGCAGCACCTCTCAAATTACTCGGAGATCAAAAAACCGACTTCACAGTGGTCGAACGGGGAAATAAAAAGACGAGGAGGCGTCGGCCGCGGCGACGGTGAAAGAGCGAGCCGCGAGAAAGAGTCGTCCGGAAAAAAGGAAGGCGGACTCTCGCGCGCGAGATGTGATTTAGATACGCGGCCTCCGGGATCCCGGAGGTCGGCTGCCTCTATTTGGGGGCTCTAGATTCTAGGGAATGAGAACTAGAGGATGAAAGAAAGAGAATGGGAGGGAAGGAAAAGTGGCGGAGCGAACTGCGGCGGCGGCTTGGGCGATAACATCTCTCGCTCTTTTGCGCGGTCTTTCGGGCGATGCCTCGAGACCGGTTGCAAACCGATAATTGTCGGTCTCGTCGGTCGCGTCGCCAAGGAAGCCGAAGGATCTCGGGCGGCGACAGCGCGAAGAGAATCCCAGTATCGTTTTTCACGCGAAAATCTCTCCAAGCTCGCTCGCCGCCGTCGAGTCGATCGCTCGTTCACTCGCTCGTCGCACCGTCAGGTCGCTTTCCTCGTTTCTTTCTCTCCGTTCATTCGTCTTACTCCGACCGTCCCTTTCCGACCGTCCCTTTCCGTCCGTCGTTGAATGGCTGTCTTCTCCCAATAGCGCTTTAAGGAGCGCTTGGGGAAGCGTCTTTACGACGCCGGGCGTCGTCGACGGCGCGCCGTACACCGCGCTCGCTGCGCTCGAAACATTTTTGCTGGCGAATAACGCCCGCGCCATTCGAACGTATCTTTGGACCTATACACGAGGTGCGCTCTAGATCTATCGGAGGTCTTTTAACCACCGGAACCTTTGATGAATTTTAGGTCAACGTTTTCTTGACGGGAAATTTGTATACCAAAATAGATTCTCTACAAGGTAGCGAAAAAATTCTCCCGTTCTAGAAAAAAAGGCACTCTAGTCGAAGCAAATAATTCTTCTTCGTTTATTGCACATTACGCGGCATAGTTCTAGAACCTACGGAAAATTCTTCAAAAATTTTATGAAATTATTTAAAAATTTTATGAACGCTGAATATTATATTTTACACCACGAAATGCTCTTTGACAAATTGATATTTGAATGTTTTCTCGCGGTGGAAACAATTACTCTTTTTCTTTATACTGCAATATCTAATAAATTTAATGCACTTCGCATAAACGTCGAGAACACAAATAACAATGAAAAAATGCAATTTTATTTTAAATTTTGTCAAAATCACGTTTTGATACATAAACTCTTTTTTGTTGCAGCAAATACCGTATAATAAAGTGTACATATCAAAGTTAGTAATGAACCGTAAGCATCAGCAAAATTCAACCAGCGCAAATTAAAACTTTTACTTGTTTTTAATCCCCTTCATATATTTCTGCTTTTATCTTCGCATGTGTAAACGCGTTCCGCAAGCTTGCAATCCTTGCCGTTATTTTTTTCTAGTCGTTACAATTTCAGACGTCTGTCTGAACAATTTTAATAAACTTTAAATTGCATGAAAGCAATTGAAAGAACAAATAAAATGCGCAGATTGGATAAATTATGTGCAACGATTCGCAGTGTTTAACAAATTTATAATTTTTTTAAGTAAATGTTGCACAGCGAGTTGATTTAATATTTCGAAAGAAATCTTCTATAATATAATAAATGCGTCAGTGCGGCGTTAAGTTAACAATATATACCTATAATGATGAGAATCTGCATATATCTATGTGGTGATTATATTCAACTCTCGTGGGAGTATGATATATCTCTTTTATCCACTTTCCTGTCAATTATCACGAACCGCCAGGTACGTTTTCATTAAAATTGCACGCGGCGAATAAAAATCCAGCAGCGAAGCGAAAATGGATATCGAAGTATGACCGGCGGGCAATGGTCAGTAATCGCGGTAGCGTTTTTCACGCGGAAATCACGGCAGTCTACGATCGCTGGAGGACGTTCGGACGACAGAACGTACCTCGCTCCTCCCGTTTCGCGCGCCGCTTTTTCCTCATCCGTTTGCATTGGTTCGTTCCTTCAATGGCGTTTCCAAGAGTGCTATCGAAATCCTCTTTACGAAGCGACGCCGCGAACGGCGGATAACGGGCATGCCGAAAGAGTTGCTTCAACGATTCGCCGCCAAATCGAGCCGCGGGGTATTATATCAACATTTCCAACCTATCTATCGTTATTCTATGCGATTTGAAAGTAAGAATCATAACGGATCGAAAACTACATCTTTTATTTGCAGGCATTAGCGCGGTTATTTTATCATTTTAGCGTTACCATCGACAAAGAGGATTTACTTTCTTCAACAAAAAGTACGAAAACAAGTACGATGATGTCAGACGATTTTCTATCGATAACTACAGATGTCGTAAAGTTTTGCAGTTTCCAAAAACTGAAATATACGTTATAGAAAGAGACTCCACTCGACAGCCGTAACAGTGGAACTGTTTAGTAAACGTCATTAGGAGTTTTCCCTTCGATCCTTTGTCTAGGACGAATGACTTTTATCGTTCGCGGAGTCGCTCTCGCAGAATAAAACTTTGAGATGTATATCGAGCTAAAGCTACAGTCGCGCCGAAAGCGAGTCTAGCGTGTAAAATGCCCGGAAACTTCGAAAGCGCGTTTAGCGCTCCGAACGTCAAACTCAAATTCATTTAATTTTGTTGCTCCAGACAGTTTAAACATAGGAGCGCGCGCAGTGTCAGGCCGCAACCGTGCTTCACCATTATCTCGTAACACGCTTCGAAACGCTAAATGCGCTTTCGAAGTTTCAAATGCTTTACACGCTAGACTCGCTTGATGCGCCCGCGCGCACTTTAAGAGCACACGGTATACAGATTTAAACGCTCTTAACAGGCTGAGAGCGCCGTTGACAATTTGCTAGTCTCGCAATATCGCGCCGCGCTCTCTTACAGAGAACGAAGGAACATTGGCAGACTTAACGGCTACTTTAAGAGTGTTTTAATCGCTCAAATATTTCAATACGAAAAAGTCAACTAAAATTTATCAAGAAATCCATAGATGAAAGCTGAATGGCGAGCCCAGACATCGTGTAATGATAAAAAAATGATTAAAAATGTGTAGATTTCATATGATGAAACCTTGCCACTTGAACGATTGCCGTCGATTGTGCGGAATTCGCGCTCGCCTGGAGCTTTCCGCACTTTTTCCGTCTCGAATATCAAGGTGGATGTATTTTCTTTTCGCGTTTCAGTGGAGGAACTGGAATGCCTGGCCACCTGGAAGGAGGGTAGCAGCCGTTACTTGGTCGGCCGCTTGCATCACGGCCACGCGTCCAGTAACGAGGATCGATACCGATGCTTCGTCTACGAGAAGGCCGGCCAGACGGTGCAGGGTAATCTGAACAACCGTGCCGCTTTAGGCATGGGTGCCATGGATCACGAAGTCGTCCTGCCGGGCGGACCGGTGCCCGAGGGCACCGCCGAGGTATACCGGGTGGCGCAGAGCGGCGACGCTACGTGCAACGGTCTGTTCAGTCCTATGGAGGGCTCCCGCACGATGACTTTGAGGAAAAGTGAGTCCTGCTCATACATTTTTCTCTTAAATTTTTATCTGCCGCTCTGCATAACTGCATTATTAAGCTGCTTTCGCATCGTGAAATGTTTATTGATATGATGTGAACGTATCACATTCTTGTTTTGCAGCTTCCAGATATTTTTCAACGCATTTCGTATATTAATTTTAAATTGGAGATTTAAATAGAAGATTTTTAATGCTAGGACGGCGACGTGTATGTATTTTAGATATTTGTTTTATTCATTTAGATAGTCGAGAATATTCAATAAATATCCAGTTCTTCTTCGTTCTAAATTAATTTGAATACGATATGAATGGCGAAAACTGCTTTCTGATACAGGTTGCCTTTTGCCCGATTCGTTATTCTAGCTTTGGTATCTCGTTAAAATTAAAACAGTCTATCATTACTGAGATACTTCGGCAAAGGAAGATATTGAAGGATTATCAAAGACTTTATCTTTTTTCAGACAAGTTGATGAAAACGGACATGTAAATCGATAAAAAGATGAACATCCGCAAAAAATTATAATTATTCGTAAAAAGACGGCTCTGGTCGTCGTTTAATAATTACGACTGCTAGTCGCAATGAAGATTTCGCAGGATAGATATTTAGCAAACGGAAAAGTTATGGCAGTTAAAAAATGTTTAATTATCATGAGATATTGCATGGTAATAAATCGTATCAGCGAATCGTATCTCCCATCTAGTTGTACGATTCATCATCGTTAAAATTTTTTCCATTTGTACAGTTCTCTCGTAGATTTTAATTATTACAGTGTAAATACGTGCTTGACGAGGATTCCCATCGGGACGCGGACGTTTCAATTTATCGTTATTTTCTAGCTGGCCGGATTTTTGAAATATTTTACGAGCCGTACGAGCGCGCGCGAGCGCACCCGGCGCTCGTCGCCGCGGACGACGGTGCATCTCTAATGTTATTTGCGCAACGATCGTGTCATCCGCGCAACATCTTGAGTAGAAATACCTCGCGCGCGGCGGCACTCAACAATATTAAATTATAACTTGCAAAATGTGAGCTAGAATGCCACTGTCATGCCGCGCGGTGTAATGTAAATGTATACTTTAAAGAATTGCTAATCAACGTACGGGTTTTTCATTCCATGAATAAGAAAAATCCGTTTGCACGACGTCTAGCGGAATAAGAGAGAAGGGACAAGGCGCCCCGACGCCGCGCGCGCATTTCCGTCTTTACTCGCTTTTCATCTCGACGCTCGCAATCCCATTTCGCCTGGTTAATGGATTCATATATAATTACTGGAGCTTCACGCTCGCGCATTATACTTGATAAATATCATCGCGAAAGGAAAAATATGAAATTCTCGGGCGATGAAATCGGGCTTTCGGCCGGCGCGCGATTTGCCCTGCCGATCGAGCCGACCACGCCTTTCGTTCAACTGCGCGTTTTTCCGTCTCGTGATTTTCAGAACGCGGCAAATTCCCCGCGCCGACGGATAAATAACGTTGGATTAAACGGCATCTCGCGATGCTCCCGGCGTCCCGCAGGTCCTTTGATCCGAAATGTATACACGGATGTATTTCGCAGTCGTAAATATCTCGTGTTTTCTTAATTTCGCCGCTACATCCGGAGGGTCGGCGCGCGGATACACGGCCGTAATGAATCGCGGCCGCGATGTTATCGCGATATCCGCCGAAATTATCGAACGAGGACAAAAGCGGTCGGGGCGATAAACAGGACGCTCGGACTACCGTCGCCGCTTATATCTCAGGCGTGATCGCTAAAATCGGATACGTACGGTCGAGCAAGCGTTAACACATAGCCGTTTCCTATCCGGCAGATCGCCAGAATCCTCCGAAAAATGATCGATCCTCTCTATTGTTGTTGTTGCGTAACAACCAATCTCATACATTGCACCTCGGTCGCGCACTATAGCTGCATTACGCGAGCTGACGTTTTCCCATGCTATATGAACGCGCGACGCGGTCGATCGCGCTGCAAATTTATTCAATTAAAAAAAGGAAATTAGGCAAGCGTGTAATTTGTGTATATTTTGAATTATCTGACCGAATTACTTGAATCATGCATTTCGTCGAAATACCGTAGCGTGATATTACATGATATCCTGCTTCAAATAATATTTCTTCTAGAAACATTATCTACAATTCAAACGTTTTCTATATATCTACGCTCCGTACGTCTCATACAAGCTCCGTACGTCACGCGAGTAATAGTTTATATAATATCTGATGGAAAAATACAGGCCCCCCGGAGGCACCAAACAACCGCGAATAAAATGCAAAGTGTGAGAATAAATTAAAGGAGATGGATGGTAACACTACTGATGCTATTATTTGCATGATAAAGCTCACGTGCAGCGATAATAGAGCATCCCTTGCTGTAAGTCCGCGTCCCGATGATAAATCGCGAAACCGCTTTGTCCTCTCCGTTTTCCCGCGTGACGTAACTGCGCTTTTGCGAGCAACGCGTTAATCGAACGTGTCAACACGCGCCGGCGAGCAAGAAGGGAATATTTACACGACTTTTCCGCGCCCATGTTCTCTTTTTCCCGCCTTGGGCCCATCCATCCGCCCGGTCTCTCCGTCTCTCGTTCGCCGTTACCGTCTTCCGAGTTTGCAAACCCGTATCTCGCTCCGCACAGTCTCACGACAAACTTCGTTAACGGATTTCACTCCGCTGGATTTTCACGATCCCGTCGCGCCATCTCCGCTGCCTCCAGTCATCTTCCTTTCTTGCCTCTTTGCAGCGCTCATCGCGCGCCTCTCCAATTGCCACTTTCTTCGGCAAATCGTTTTAAGTCGAGTGGGAGTCACCGACACGCGCATAAAACTCGCGCCGAAGAAAAGAAGAGGAGGAAACGAGCGAGCGGGGAAAGAGTGGTGGCTTAAGAACGGAGGCTGAGACAAGCCCTAGGTGGGGCGGGTGCTTGTAAGCTTCGCCGTCGTTAATATTACGATCCGCGTCTAGGAAAAAGCGCGAGGTAAAGGCGGAAGGGTAACCAGGCGAAAGGATGCGGAAAAATGGATTAACATTGAACCTTTCCCGGCTTTTACCCTTCAGCCTCAGCCCGTACTCCTTTTGTCCCACTTCGACTAGTTCGCGTAGGTATCTCGCCCTCATCTTCCGACATTCGCGAGCTCCTATTAACCGCGTCCGCAGCCTCGGTCGAGATCCGAAGTTTGTTCAATTAGTCCGGCATCTCCACTTCGCTAAAGTAAATATCTGGGGGAAAACTGCGAGACTGTGTTGAGATACTCGGAGCGTATGGTCGGGGAGTGAGTCAAGTAGTTAGGCGAACGGAAGGACAAATTGCGCCAATTACTCGATCGTAAAATTTCGAGAATAACGTTATTTCGGATGGTTGCCGGAAAGACTGCGAGAAAGGGGTGTCGATTTTTCCAAGCTTTCATGTATAAAATGTAAGCAAAGCTTAAAATAAAAAGCCTAAAGAGAAACAAAAATATTGTCCCGCGTTATCCCTAACGGTTGTTATTCTTCAACATTTATAATGTTTCATAAATAGAATTATTCAAAAAATTATACAATTTTTAATTATTATCACGTGAATTGTTAACTAATTGTGTAAAATAAAAACGCACTGAAAGAAAAAGGAAAATAAAAAACAGCAAATATTGATAATGTTTCGGCTTTTAAAAATAAATAATATCGTATATAAAATAACTGTAAAAAAGTTTACGTGTGTACAAATTATGTAAAAATTGTTTAAAAAAAGGTAAATATAGGAGCGACAGATGTAAAATATCAAGAAAATAAAAAATATCGAAAAGGTTAGAGAGGACCGAAAGAAACGTGTTACCCATTCGGTTTTTACCCGATTATGCAATTTGTATTTCTCTGTATTCCATCTCGTATTATCAGTCCAGCCAAATTGCTTTAACCCAATTCGGTTACATCAAAAAATATTGCGGATAATACAAATGCAGAACGTTTGTCAAACACGATTGCCAGTAACGGTATAAATGTAATATGCGCACATGTCGAAATCGACATAATTCCCCGTGTACACGCATACATCCACTCAATTATTAATTCCTATATAAATTCATAATCATGACATCACGCGTATTCCACCGAATTACCGTCGCTTTATCTGCATTACAATTACTTGTAATTCGCTCAAAATTGCACGTAGCCCGATTCGGAGCAGTTAAATTCATTCAGCGGTGTATAAAGCCTCCCGTTGGGCTAACACAATTTTAATGCCAATTTTGGAAACTTAATTTTCGAAAGAATAGCATTGAATGCAAACGGTTTTAACGTCTATTTTTTTTTTTTTTAACTAATATGACTTTAAACGAATAAATCGGTCGATAGCTTGGCGCAATATGAAAAATACGATTTTATCGTTGAGAGACAAGTTAGTCGACAGCGCAAAAACAAATAACGTGACAGCAAAAGAACAAGATTCTAAAACAGTAGAAATGCTGGCGCAAATATAGAGCGTTATTATTGCGCCATGTTTCGCCATTTATATTATATTTTCAAGAGACACACAGCATACTATTATTTATATTTCATCGTTTTCTGCAATTAATGTAAAAAGGGTGAAACTGGGACAATTACGTAATCTGTATTTGCAGTATAAATCATTCTATGCAAATTTAAATGACGCGTTTCACTGAGAATATAGGTGATATAGGTCACCGGTACATGCGATATTGCGCGATACTGTGCCTTTTGTTTTCTTTTACGCGATCCGCAATTTGAAAATTCCACATCACGTCGCGCGTGTTGCTAAAAATGAATAGATTACGCGCGGATAATAATTTATTTTTTATATCAAAAAAATACATAAATATCAAGAAATAAAATAAAAAGCAAGAAATAAATTGGCACAAATCTATAAATCAATATTTTTTATGAATGATATTATTTATAATACAATATAACGAAATCATATAAGCTCACATGACAGAAATAGCAGTTTCTACTTTAAAAGACGAGCGAAATTCGACTTTTCGTTCTTCTTTTACGATCGCGGAATTTGTATCTCGATCGTAAGCATCGCGAATGAACTTATCGGGACGGGTCGTTGAATTATTTCCATGCTTTGCTGCACAGTGTGCAACAATGCTTTTATGTGTCATAAAACCAGCCCCGAGAATGCCGCCGCGCGCTCCGTTAACCCACTCGGTCGACCTTCCGCCCTCGTACCGTTCTCTTTTGCGCCGTGGACCACTCGACACGAATCGAAGTGACCTTTTGTGACGCTCCGATTTTACATCCGCAACCGGAAGCGTCGCGCCGACGAGCGTATCACGCCGGGAGTTGATCGGTGTATCGTTGCTGCGGAAGAGATGAAAGCGGGCAACGGAGGGAGAGAAAGGGAGAGGAGGATAGATAGGCGTACTCGGTGGACCGCGCGATATCCCGAGACGATTTCGCCTCGCTATCGGATACGTCGACGGTTTATCGACTGTCATTCTGCGACGCGAAGGACTTTACGGTGAGCCGGCGCGGAGCCTGCGAAATTTTTGACAGTGCCGCATCGGCCGGTCGGTCCGATGTAGGCCACCGTCGACGTCGCTGTCGTCGAGAGATCCTGCGGCCTTTACGGGCTCGCCGAGCTCTCGTATACGTGGTGGGACGCGTAACGGCCGTCCGGAGAATCGTACGTTTTACGATAGTTGCGCGAAGAGAGGTCCCGCCTTTGACCCAACAGCCGATAGAACTCGCCGGTTAACGAGGAAATTCGAGCTCGGTCGCAAAACTAACGAGAAAATTTAATTGCAGTTTTTTGCAGTCGCGGAAGGGGTCGCGCATTTGAATGTAAATAAATTTCTTCGACCGAGCACTTCGGTAAAGGCGATTCGGCATAAGTGGATATTCGCTCCCGGAGTTTATTTTCCTCTGTATACGCTCATGGGTGCATCAAGAGCGATAAAAGCATCCTGGAAAATATTTCAGACATCGGGAGGCTGCTTTTTTATCCGATACGTATTTATTCATTCGAGAAAAATATGGTTCTGAAACGATTTCGTCGCTGAATAATATTAATAAGACGACTACTTCCTACTTTTAATCGGATACGTCGTTAATCAGGATGTGACGCTTTCGATTTCAGTCTCCTCCCCGGGCGAATGTCGATTTCCAAATTGGCTAACCGGACATTCGAGCGGCGGACTGACCTGGCACACCCTGGACCTCGGCAGATCCTACACGTTTCATCCGCGAAACGCCTCCCTGCACGTCGCAAGATCGAACATGTCTACGCCGAGCTTCGAGAACGGGCTCGACTTATACGTGCCCGGATCGGAGGATCAGGATGTGAAGATCCTCTGCAACAGTATAAAGCAAGCGAACGTCGCGCAGACCATGACGATGACAATGCTAGTGGCGCACTTCACCATTGGCTGGTGAGTTTCGTTTCTAAAATCCTTGCATTTTTCTACGCGGCTTATTACAATCATTGAATTTGCAAAATTTGTATTAATAACGTTATGACTTATTCACAAGTTATTTCTCTCACGAATTTCAATTGGGAAGACAAAGGGGTGCGCAGAAAATAGATATTTATTCTTTTATCTTAGAAACGTCGGATATGAAAGACGCGTCACAAAAATGTCAATTATTATTAAAACTACAAAAGGCATGTCATGTGAAGAAAGCTTAAAGGAAAATCGATTTACATTCACAAAATCGCGGCGATACTCCGTAATTCTATAGCGTACCGCTTATCTACTCGGATACGGCGAATGCGATTAAAGCGACGGAATATGTCGCCCCGACAATGCACCGCTTTTTATAGATTTTTGCGCTCCTCTTTTTCCAGCCGGAGTGGTTTTAGGTGCATGACATTCTACCGAAGAGACGGCCACGTGATCGAGCTGCAAACGGGAAATGTAGTACCTAGACCGGAAGAAGCATGCAGCCCGCCCCATTTTGTGCAGACCAGCACGCCCTTCCTCACCTTAGTCAGTGAGTACAATCCTTTCTCGTTCTCCGTAACGCGCGCTCCTCCATTTTTGCGATGTGTCTCGCGAAGAAACTTGCCCGTCTCGTGTTATTGAAAACGCGCGATGCGCCTTTTTGCCCGTTTCAACGATAAGAGCATCCTTTCGCGATCTCACGTCGAAATTGCCCCGATATAGAACTTTACCGTAATAGTAGACTCGGTCGCGGAAAATAACTAAGCTATATTGTTATACGACTTTGTAAAATATACTCTTCGAGGCACCCGCGCGGCATACGACGGTCAGACACGATAGAAGCGTATCGTCGCATTTAGCATTAAACACGGTCGTCCGAGTTAGTACATGAAATTCATTCGCAATGTTATCTCTGACCGAAGACCGGGCGGCCGCGTTTAGCGCCGTGAGGTACGAATACGGGTCTATGTTATCATTCCGAGGCTGGATATTAATGAAGCAATTGTTCAGCTATCAGATTAGCATAACTCGGCGAACTTTATCATCGCACGGGGAACTCCTTTCGCGATATCGTATCGATCGCCGAGGCTCTCGGCTGATCGGACGACCGACGCAGCCGCTCGTTCCGCTTGATTTGCGTGGCCGTAGGGTTTTATCCGATCCACGTAGAGACGACTAGGAGCGAACCGCCGACGGAGAAAGGAACGAAGGTAGAATAGAG